ATTCTATTCTATTCTATTCTATTCTATTCTATTCTATTCTATTCTATCCTATTCTGTTCTATTCTATTCTAAATATATGGTCCCTTTATCAAAACCCTCTGCTACTATGCCCAGCCAGTATACATCTGGTTTCAGGTCTATATTCTGTTTTAACTATCTTTTCCAGCCAGCTCCTTATTTTCTCCCAAAGTGTTCTTGTCAAAGCAACTTTTTAAAACTAGTTGATCACTCTGCCACGATGTGTATCTCCCACTTTGCTGGAAAACAAGGGAGCTGATCTAGTCAAATGAAAGCCAGAAAGAAAATCCTTCTGGAATGGAGATCCTTCCGGTTAGGGCCAGATTTAGTGGGTGAAGGGCCGGAAAACTGCATCCTAGTTTTGTCCAACTGCAGATCAGAACAGTTGAATTGCTGGAATAAAGGGTTGGCTTGAGTAGTTTAGCCCCGGGATAAGGTGTGAGTTCATAAATCACGTTGACGCTTTTGTTACATGGCCATTGTTTCTAGCAAGGCTCCCAGCTCTTCCAGTAGCAGGATCAGAAAACCTGTGTGGCAAGGCAATAATGCTATGAAATGCCAAACCCCTTAAAGCAGAGGCCTCCAAACTTGGCAACTTTTAAGACTTGTGGACTTCAACTCCTATAATTCTTCCTCCAGTCGTGTTAGCTGAGGAATTCTGGGAGTTGAAGTCCACAAGTCTTGCCACGTTTGGGGACCCCTGCCTTAAAGCTGCAGTGCTCCTTTTATCAGGCATGCATTTCAAAGAATTCACAGATCCTCCCACCTGGAGTTAAGGGATTCTCTCCTGTATTACCTGCCTTTTGCTCTTGTTTGTTTCGAAGAAGTTTGAACAGGAGAACTTCCCAGCATTGGTGTGTCTTGATTTCTTTTTTTTTTCTTTTTTTTTAAATTTAATCAGTTTTATTTTACTAGAAAGAAAAGTTAACCTACAAAATTCCCAAGACATTTGAAAAACAACAAAGCCAAAAAGACACAAAAGCATACAAGGTGTTTAAAAAGTTCATTTAAAAAAAAATGCAGCGTGTATACAGGTAGCCTTTGACTTACAATTGACACCCCAAAACTTACCTTGCTGAGTGAGACATTATGTATTTTTTTTTTTTTTAATTATAAGAATACAACACGGTGCAGCCGATCTGGCATTAAAATTGTTATGCATGTATACATTTTACTTCACCATTTACAATCCTCTTGTCTGATGCATTGTTTACTAATTATTCTAATCATCATCGCTACTTATGTTCCGCCCTTGCCTTCTTCTATGCAACCACTGATAGAATTTATTCCATGTTTCATAGTACTCAGATTCTCCTTGTTTTTTAATTCTAGAGTTAATCTATCTGATTCTGCACAGGCCATAATTTTCCTTATTATCTCTGTTTCTGGTGGTATTCTTTCCTTCTTCCAGTATTGTGCATATATTATTCTAGCCGCCGTCAACACATATTATTAGGTAAATTAAATCCTTCTTATGTCCTTCTGGTATTATTCCTAAGAGAAAAAGTTTTCCCTTTTTTCAGTGCTGTTGTTGTAACTTCGAGCAGTCACTAAACGAGGATTTGTAAAGGACTACCTGTACACAGATTATCCCCCCCCCCATTAAATACTGATTAATGTTGCTACAATATTAGTTCCCAGCCCTTTCAAAACACGCCTCCCTCTAAAAAAATGTTTTTGAAAATAGTACATCCATTTACAAACGATTGACGTCTCATGTATATGCCACAAAATATGTGTGACAAAATAGATGTGACCAAATAGAATAGAATTCTTCATTGGCTCAATGTGATTGGACACACAAGGAATTTGTCTTGGTGCAAATGCTCTCAGTGTACATAAAAAGAAAAGATACATTTGTCAAGAGTCAAGAATCATAATGTACAACACAGTGTTGAGGAAATTATTTGTTTAGCAGAGTGATGGCGTTCGGGAAAAAATGGTCCTTGTGTCTAGTTGTTCTGCTGTGCATTTACAGTATTTCTGGTGTAAATAGTTAACAGGAAGAAGAATCATGCCTTGACTTTGTAGTCGTTCAAGCCAGTTAGGTCTCGTGGTGAAGGCACCAAGCTTGGAAAACAAGAGATGTTGAATTCTTGTCTCGCCTTAGGCACAGAAGCCGGCTGTGTGACTTTGGGTCAACAGTCATTCTCGGCCTACGACGTCAAGCCAGTCAGTCAATTTCTGTCGCAACCAATGGAACAACACTCGATTGATTCCACGGAGAGGGGGGGAGGAAACGGAGCCTATATTTGAGGGAATACATTTTATTTATTTTTTTCACAATCACTGCTGGCCACAATGTGAAATGGGAATGCATTGTGTCGATTAACAAAGGGAAAACGTTATTTGCAAGTGCTCAAGTTGTTGTTCTTAGCAACCGTAAGTCAACATTTTTCCTATGTTTGCAACCCAATAAGGCTCATGGCAAAAGTGCTTTTTTTGTTGTTTGCAAAGGGCCAAGTGAACTATGGTGTTTTTCCCCTCCTTTGAGGAAGAAGTTGACCTCACCCTTTCCTAAGAGGTCTTTAGGGGGCGTCCAATCCAGCCAGAACTGATGAAACTTCTTGGATGAGAAGAGAAACAACTTCTTCGTCCTTCTCCTCCCCTCCTCCTCCCCTTCCTCTTCTTCTCCTCCTTCCTCCTCTTCTTCTCCTCTTCCTCTCCTTTTTCCTCTTCTCTTCTTCCTCCTCCTCCTTTTTCTCCTCTCCTCCTCCTCCCTCTTCTTCCTCTTCTTCCTCTTCCTTCTCCTCCTCCTCCTTCTTGTTCTTCTTCTCTTCCTCCTCCCCCTCCTCCTCCTCTCCCTCTTCTTCTTGTTCTT